TGATGATGATGATGATGATGATGATGATGATGATGATGATGATGATGATGATGATGATGGAGGATGAGTGATAATAATAATAATGAACATCATAGGATATATCTAGCGTACTTAAGCGTCTTATCGTACTAGAATCCTGGATTCGTATTTCGATACACAGCATAAGTCCATTTTCTAATGGATACGCGCCCGACAGGCCTGTTGGTGCACCTGCATCAGACTCCTCACGTGAAACGCCTTCAGATTCCGAGATTGACGAAGTTTCAGAGTATGTAGTTTATTTAATGGTAACCTGCTTACAGTGCTATTTGGCAACGAGCTTGGGCGAGCGACAATGGAATGTTACGAGTCGGAAGAACGAGCAAAAGGAGAGGGTTCGGCACGGAAGACGATTGAACAAAGGTTCGGGTGTTTGAGCAGTAATCCACTTACTGCCCACCCCGCTCGATGCAGTGGGTAGCGTGATCGTGATTGTTCTATGTGACGACCGTTAGAGCGCGGAATTGTTTGTTTTGTGTGTTAGTTAGGGTTTAAAGCACGGGCACTACTAGGGTGTCCAACCACTAAGCAGGATAATGTTTTGGGTCCTCCCCTTTAAAACCCTCGGTTTTGGCAAGAACTTAACAGCAAGGAAGTAGACAAAGCGTTTACTTCGATCGATGTCTCCGCCATTTTATCAACACAAACCCACTCGAGTCGAACCCTCAAACTGCAGGACCAGAAAATCAACCTCAATCATCCAATCTTCCACTTATATAGTAAGATCTCTTGGCTTGATAAAAGCCATGCTGCGTAGCTCGTCGAGTCGCAGAGGTGCACAAGCCGCCACGCCACGTCAAGGTGCAGTCTCTTCGTAGTGATATATCGAAAGCAGTATTATCCTTTATTTTCACGAATTGCCGATTCAAGCTACCTGATTTATTTTATGTTTGCAATTTCGACTACAATCGCTTTTTTAACGTTACCCTTATGGTGTCTCTCCTATCGGTTGTCAGTGCCGTTCTATTTCTTTCGCCAATATTTCTCAACAGCTCAACCAATCTTGAACGGAACTATCGGATACCTCCTTCGTGTTTGACTCGAAGCTCGTTGTGTCGTGTAGTATTATTTGACCATGATGATAAGGTAGGTTGTAATGTAGTTTCATTAAATTGATTCATCATAATCGTCATCACTAAATTAGCTTACTGTCTGTCTTGCGCTTTGTCTATGTACGTTTTGTTTCTTGTGTTATTTTCTTTCTCAGAATATAACTATCCTCTCCCCTGCCAACAAACCAAAATACACGAAAGATGAATTTCGAAAATGGTTACCACTGTCGCATAAACGCCGCATGTTAACCTTCATGTACCTTTCGTCCAGAACGGTATCTTTTGTTTGTAATGTTATAAGTGTCAGTCAAAATTGAGATTTTGCATTTAAACCCCGCCGCAAAATGTCTGGTTTGTCTAAATCTACCATATACACCTTTGGTTTGTGCCTATATTTAATCAGTTATTGGTTGCAGTCTCACTTTCTTTGGACTATGTTATCATATTCAACACTTTGAGGAACTCACTGCGACAGAAGTAAGCGAATTAGAAGTAACGGGATTTCGTTCCCTTGGATTTTAGAACCTGGTCGCATTCCCCACCAGTATTTCACTATTTATGCTGCCTCATTTCCGTGATATCTATCCACAGGAACTTGTTTCTTCTTTTATGATTCTTTCTGCGATGCACTCAAATAGAAAGTTGTCGGAAGTGTTTTTTGTCCCCGTTTTCCCGGTGATCCATACGTGATTTGAAAGATGATATTAAGAGAGCATAGCATAACTCAGCGGTGCGTGCTGCATTAATTTACTTGGCTTGTCCGGATAGATCATACCCAACAACTCTGTTTTCGTCCACTCCACCCAACACCCACTGTGTTTGCTGCTATTTTTATCTCATCTCAGCCCACCTTTACTTCACACCTTTGAACATGTATTTACAAATAAATGAAGTATATATATATATAATTACCAATTATAAATATATATATTACAATGAATAATGTATTAATGATTCGACAAAGTTTTATTGGAATCACTCGACCGGTTTCGCAGTACGTGTCGTTCGTCAGGTGTGCGCATCCGGTAATCGTTTTATTTAAATTTATTTACTCTTTGAGGAATCATGCTCTCTACTTTTCTTTTTGGTTAATAGGGTCTCGAGGCATCAATCCGTTTATCGCCCAATGAGGTTGTCACAGAGATTCGTGGACAGTTTCTCTTGCTCGAAGAATATGAACATTATGTTGATCCTATCTCAGAGTAAGTAATGGTTTCTCATTACGCATCAAAAGGATAATCATAGTACTTTGGTTCACCTAAGATGTTAGTCAAGGAACTGGTGCAGGGTCCTTCGAATAATTTTTTATAGAGTCTCTCGTGATGTACGAATGTGGACTTCTCAAGGTATTTGGGAGACTCAGGGTTTCAAACATTATGTGAAGTAGCGGGCCCAACGCTCTTAGACTTGCGGATGAATTGAGACGGGCAATCCATAACATTTCTAAATATTTAACCGCCATTTAGTACCTGGCATGAGCTGAACTGAACTGAACAAGACCATTTTATGAAGAAGCATATATCCGGGGCTATCGCCAACTAGCTAACTAGCTGATAACTCCTGATTTCAAACCCAAAAAATGGCGCTGAAGCTGGCTCCGTGCTATTTTGGTCCCAATGATCACTGCCTCGATCGTGCGATAGGGTGTGTTGGACACCGAGTACGTGCGAGCCACACTCGGTGCTCGACCCGACGTATTTTACACCAACCCCCATGAACATAATGGTTGACAAACCGCCCCTCTGGCGTGCTGGTCAGGCTTGGACCAATCGGAAGTTCCGAATGTAAGTTGCCAAGAAATTCTGCGACTCTGGCCTAGGTAGCGTGGCAGTATTCCACCCACGTGCAACCAACTGACTATTCCTCTTGTGACAAAAATTACTGTATCATGATCTGGTCAACTCACAGTTTGAGCTCAAATAAGCACATACAAATAGCTACATTTATATAAGACATGCGCAGGACGGCCAGGTGTCACAAACTATTGTATGTTGTACTTTCGGGCGACGTTCATTTGAACTAGTTTACGCGACTGCAAATGGGCC